TGGGCGGAATGGGCGAAGCTCCGGTGAGTGGCTGCTTGGAGAAGCTTTCCCTCATTTCACGTCGTGCAGTTGAGTTTGGACGATCTCTAACGACATAACCTTTAATCATTTTCAGATAATTAGCAGGATAGTCTTTCCCCAGAGTGGTGAACAGGTTGCTGGGGAGAGCTTGTTCCTCTAGGTTGCGTCGTAGCAAAGCTATCAAGGGACCAGCCAATGCTTTGGAGAAAGCCTTTTATGAGGCCATCAGCTCTAAATAAAAATACTGGCTTTTTGTGAATCACTTGGTCTATACAGAAGCTGCAACCAAAGGGGACAGTCATTTCCCATCCGTTCTCCGATGTGAGCTGAGATCCCTAGGAAAGGCACTTAGTGCTGGAGGCAACGTACTCCTTTCTCTGATGTCTCGGTGGCCGTTTTCCATCCCAGCTTCCATGATCCATCTTTTCTCCTTTCTTTTCTTGTAAAAGTTTGCCCCTTTGTTGCTTATGCAGCTTGGAACAAAATGGAGATAACTTCTCCTCTTCTGCCTGCGTTGTCATGGGACTGCTGTGAACCGCAGAGCCGGGAGGATGCTGCTGATGGTGATGGTGATGATGGTCACCAGGGGGATTTTCTTCAAGAAGTGACTCAGCAGTGGCTGTCACCTGCTTGGGACAGGATGAGTGACACATTCCCAGACTGTCTGAACACGGACACTTGATTCGGTTGAGCCGAGAGGGACAGTTGGTAGCAGCAGACCATGGTTCAGTCCTCACAGCAGATACTTCAGAGGTCCAAGGACCAAAGTCAGCTCAATCCTGGTAAACACAGTACATTTAGGTGAGGCCCTGCAGTATTTTAGGCCAGGATCTAGGGCATTTGCTACATACAACCTCAGTGCAGCGTTGAGAGCACATTAGAGGTACGCTAGGTGTGCACTGTGTAGGACATGTCCATCTGGTGGCACATGGTCCTCAAGAAACCAGGCAGGTCTTGACTTTCCCATGCATTTGGCCACCACGTTGGCCCAGATCAGACGCAGAGGGTCTCGTTGGTGCAAACAGCCTCAGCCAGACACATCTGAGGCTCTTCCCAAAGGAAAACTCCGAAGGGTTAAGCGTGCCGTAAGCCTGGAGCTCTCCTCCTTGTGACCTTCTGGCTGCAGAGCTGGAATCTTAAACCCTTGGGGCTTTAGCTGAAGTTTTGGCTCAGCGAGCCGCGTTGCCAGGATTACATATTAAGTGAAGGCACGTGAAACTGGGGACTAAACGGGTTTGGACAGTCCCTTCCTTGAAACGACGGGATCTGGAAACCCAAGCGTAGGTCCAGTGGGGACTAAAGAGACAACAGGAGCTACCTGCAATGGGAAGGCTGAAGGTTGCAGCTCGTTTGGGGCAGGACAGGAGGGATGTCATGGGGAGATGGAGGAGGAAAGAGAACGGATGAGGAGGGACGGGTCAGCTTCCCGTTTCGGCTGCATTTCAGGTGCCACCACCCGATGTTCAGAGGCACATCTCCAGTTTTGGGAGATCCAGGAGGTCCAGATCCATGGCAGTGAGCTGGCCTGGCACGGAGGCTGCGCCCTGCTCTGCAGCCAGGCCTGGCAGCTCAATCCCGCTTCTCCAGCTCCATTCCCACCCGCGGGCAGGTCACGGCTCTGCTGCTGGCACCACAAGCTGTGGACAACACCAAAACGTCCCTCTTTGGAGGCAGAAGGGCCCTAGGGAGGGTCACAGCCGTGTCCGTCGCATCCGTTCTGACCACGCTTGCAAAATCCTTTCCGTTGCAATCCTTATTTTCGCCCTTGTAGGAGCGAGTAAAGCTCAGCAGCCAGGTGGGAAGTTTTTCCATGGGGAAGAGCTTCTCTTTGCCGCGGGAGGAACCGGATCGTTGCCGAGGTCGTGGACGGGCCCCGCAGCTTTATGCGCGCGCAGCTGGGAATTAAGGGCATCCTTGCTGCAGGTGGGGCGGCACGACCAGTGCGTTGAGGTGGACTCTCAATTCCTGTGGCTTCGGCTTTATCTGCACCACAAATCCCTCCTTTTTTCATGGAGAGCTGCTTGACCTGGCTGTCCCACCGTGAGATCCCCATGGCCAGAGCAGCCCCCGCCTCGGTGCTGAGCTTGCAGTTATCTTCCTCCTTCCTTTTGGGGACTTAATAGCTTTAATAACTTGCACTTTATTTAGGGAAAGTGGAAACGCAAAGTTCCCTCGTGGCCCTTGCAATTCCCACATGGCGGGAATTCCCACATGCAATTCCCACATTGCATGGGCATGTGCATTCCCACCTTTCAGGGCAGCAAACGTGGACGGAAATAATCCTGGATACAGGGACAAAACACGACAGGATCCGACCTCTCCGCTCCGAGCCCTCGCTGCTGGTGTGGGAGCCGAGGAGAATCCGGACACCCGGACAGTGAGGCGGGAGCCGGAGCCCTTCCGAGGACACCCTGGGTGCCCGCAGCGGGACAAGGAGCAGCTGCCCCCATCAAAAGCCACTTTGCCTCCAAACGCCCCCGGCGCTTCGCTCCGCTCATTAGTTAATTTTGTCCTAATGAGGCTCTGTTAAGGGGAGCGCCCGACATTGGGGAGAAAGGAGGTGGGGGCAGAACCCGAGTAAAAAGGCACCTAATTAGCAAGTCAATTATAGCAAGCAGGGAAATGTGCTGGTTACATAAATAAGCTATTGTTGTGCACGCACCAAGCCGGGCCCTTCCCGAGCGCCGGAGCCCGCCGCACTTCCCGGGACGCCTCATTAAATCCCGGGGTCCTCGCCTGCCAAAAAGGGCCCTGGAGAGGGAGCCTGCAAATCCGGGGCCTTCCCCTCGCCGCCCTCGGCCCTCCCCTCCGCGCAGGAGCTGAAACCGGAGCAGCCCGCATCGGAATTGCGCTGGGAATATAAAGGGATGGCGACGGGGCGGCCCTAGGTAAGAGCACCATGCCCAACAAGAAGAAGTACAATGTGAACGGAGACCCAGGCATTAAGGCCCAGGTGAGGGCGGCCCGGCGGTACCGTGCGCTTGGCTTTCCGTTGGAAAGGCCACCTCTTCCCTCTCTCTGCCTCCATCCCTGTTTTTTCCCTCGCTTTCCTCGCTCTTCCCCCAAATCACTTAGGTCGGGTTTGGCTTGTGCCTTCCCGGCTGGACGGCCGCTCCGTCCGGAGCTGCTTTTCCACTCGGGAGGTGCCGTGTTGAGCCCCACACACTATCCTAGGGTTTTCCTTCCCACCCCTGGAGCAGCGCGAAGGAGAACCCCCATTTCGGAGCACGCAGGTTGCCGGCGCTGAGCCTGGCGTGAAATCCGTGGATGGACGGAGTTCTGCTCCGCAGAGCGGCACGGAGCTCACCCTCACCATGGAAGCGAGGCAGCCTCCTTTGGTGGAAGAGCAGCTTATCTCCTTGGGAATGCGGGGAGCCTGCCCGTGCCGGGGTTAACCCCTGCACCTCCACTTTTCCAGCCTCCATCGGTTTTCCCGCTGGAGGGACGTGGCTCTTGAAGGCAACATCATGCATCTCGCTGTAGAGCAGGCTGGCCTCCTAGATCCAAGGAACTGTGGTTTCCAAATGCTTCCCAGTCTGCCGTTTGAGCATGGACTCGTGCAAAGGTGGCCCTGGTGGAGCAGGGGGCTGGGCTAGGTGGTCTCTAGAGGTCCCTTCCAACCTCAACCGTTGATTCAAAAGCTCAACCCCAACCGCGATTCAACCCCAACCGCGATTCAACCCCAACCGCGATTCAACCCCAACCGCGATTCAACCCCAACCGCGATTCAACCTCAACCGCGATTCAACCCCAACCGCGATTCAACCCCAACCGCGATTCAACCCCAACCGCGATTCAACCTCAACCACAATTCAACCTCAACCATTCCAGGCAATAAATGCCCTTGTGCAGGAGATGAGGGGCGTTCACAGAGCTCCTCGTGGAGCTCCTCACCCTTCCCAGGCTCTGCGGTGCCGGCTTTGCTGGGAGCACCGCTTGGCACCTACAAACCGGTGCCTTGAGAGGCTGCTCGGCCTCCCAGGCATTCGTTTTGGGTGGAAAAGAAGGGTTTTGGGGTGATGGGCCCTGCTCGGAGAGGGCCTGCAGGCTCTGTGGCTCGGAGTCCTCGTGTGGCTCGGGTGTCCTCGTGCGGAATGTGGCTCCCAGCTCGGCTCCCCCTGCTCATTCCCAAGGGCATCTTGCGGGGTAATTCTGCCTTATTTTAAGGTCAGGCCTGCGGGTGCCCCGGCAGGTTTCCTTGCCATCCTTTTGCCTCCTCCTCACAGGCTCAGACGGTAGCTCCCGGAGTCACCTTTCCCAGCACCTTTCCCCCTCTCCCTGCCTTCTTCTCCAGCCTCCGGGACGCTGCGTGAGCCTCCGGGCTCACATTAGAGTTCCCGGGAAGGGCTGCAATTCCTTAGGGCGAGGTGACTGTTTTAAACCACGCTGCCTTCTCCACAAACCCTCCGGCCTCCCTTAATAGACTCAATTAATGGCTTTCAGGAGGTTGAAAATGTAAATATTTAATCCCCTTGCGCCAGATTGAGTCACTTTGTGCCCAGAGCAAAATCCAAGGAATTCTGCAAGTGGAAGTTACGCTTTTCAGTTTCACGGAGATGTAGCACAAATTATAAGTATATTTGGAGCACTAGCAGACCAGGCGATACGCTAAAATGCTTAATAAAACCATAGGCCTGTGTGCTGTGAAACAGGGACAAGTGGGGTCTGTGACACGTGTGGTGACTTGTGAGGGTCTTTTGTGATCCTGGGTGGAAGGTTGATAGGGAAGCGAGGAGAAGAATGAAACGTGGAGCTTCCCTTGCGCCGAGCGGGGAAATTCCTATTGCAAAACCCCTATGAACCCTTAGAAATGTCGGGATACGAATGACACCTCCTTACTTGTCCCTTCCGTCCTCTGCGTGCTTTGGAGTAGACGGACTTTGCAGACTTACATTCCACTTTGTATTCTTGGAATTCATCCTCTGTATCCGACTCCTGGTTATTTCAATCAGAATTTAATCAGCAATGTCTCTCCACAGATCCAGTTTGCCGACCAAAAGCAAGAGTTCAACAAGCGCCCGACCAAGATTGGCCGCCGCTCGCTCTCCCGTTCCATCTCGCAGTCCTCTACAGACAGCTACAGCTCAGGTTTGTGCCGCTGCCAACTGCATCTTGTCACGACCTCTTGCCAAAACTGCAAGATTTTGGGTCATCCTTTTCACTCAGTAGAAGCTCAGAGATCTCCCCATTCTCTTTCACAGTGAGGGGTGTCGGACGGGAGACAGGGGAAGAGGGTTATTCCTTTTTTCCCATTTGTATTTGGATGGAAAATTGAAAGAATTTCTTAAGCAGGAGCTAGGTTTAAGCCAAGGTTTAAATTTCTCTGTTATCCTTAAAATCTCTGAACTATAATTCCCGTTTCTGGGATCCTCAAGGATCTTTTGAGGCTTATTTATGAATAATTTTGAATTTTTGGAATTTATTTATGAAGTTTGGGTCTGGCGAAACTTGGTTTGCCCAGAGCAAGATGTGGCGGTTGTGGAGCACTGGCCAGAAATCTCCAAGCCCTGCAGTCACACAAGGTGCCCTGGATTCCTACCGTGAGCTGTGCAGGTGCTCGGTGTTCAGCTTGTCCCTTGCTGTCTTTGAGCACCTGCAAGTTCCAGCTCATCCAACTGCAGCTTAATTTGTGGCACTATCCATGAACATTCCTAAAGCCCTAAGGAAGACTTAGGCTCATGTGGAAAACAGGAATTGTGTTCATGGTCCCATTCTTTGAACGTTTGTGGTTTAAAGCTGATGCAAAGGAACAGAAGAAAAGGTTGCACAGAGGCATGAAAACACAGCTCCAGGTGGGACGTGGTGTTTGTTCCTGGTGGGATGGAGCCCACGGGAGGCTGCTAACCCCTGCTTGGCTTTGAGGTGGGTGCAGAGGGGCTGCCTGCCCCGTGACGAGCAAGGAGCTGCCCTGTGCTTTGTGCAGGGGACAACTGGGGTCGGAGGGAATTCAGTGTCACTGCATTTCCCAGCGTTTAAGAGTGTCGCCCGTCCCATTCTGTAAAACACGGTGCCCTCCAGTGGCATCTTCTGCTAAATCCACCGCACCAGACAGCACCAAGGAGCACCAGGCTGGGGACAGAGCAGTGTCACCCCTCTCCCCTCGGGACTCCTACTGCTTGTCACTATGTCACCAAGTGCTATTACTGCTTTCAGAGAGCCTAAGTCACACCGGGGGGAGTGATGAGAACTGTGGGCTTTTCAGTGTCCTAGTTGCTGTTCCAGAAGGGAGTTTGGATCCAGTTCCCGCAGCAGAATGTGTCATCCAAGAAGATGCAGATCCTCCTGCAGCCCAAATGGGAGAGGAAGACTCCAGACACTCGGAGCTGTTGGGAGAAGAAGGCTGTTGCCTCCTCTGCAGGTGACCACCCTCCAGGGAAAGGCAGCAGAAGCCACTCAACAGGCAGGACGGGCTCTGTGCTGGAGCCGTGGGAGATGCTGAGGGTCCCAGGGACCCCCCAGCACCCTCCTCTGGTCTCTGGGCATCAGCTTGGCTGGATTTGCTGTATTCTTGGCAGGCCGTGCAGCGTGTTTGGGGAGAAAAGAGCGTTGGAAACCACAGGAGCTCGAGGTCAATCCTTCTGTGACCCTCTCGCCTGGAATTCCTGCTGTGCAGCAAGAAATAATTGTGGTTTGCGGGAAGGTGAAATGCGAACCAGCGGGGATTTGGGGCTGCAGAGTTTGCACGGATAGGTGCCAGTCTGCACAAGGAAAGTGGCCGGCGGAAAAACAGGTCTAAAGGTCGTCCACAAACATCTGCCCTTTGTGGCTCCTGCACTGGTGTGTTCGAGGTGGCTTTTGCCACACTTCACCTGCAGCTTTCGACTACACCTCGTTACTGAACGGCGCAGGGCAGGACCTGAGCACTTGCATAGGGCTATATGTATTTCTAAGCTGCTTGTATGAGGCAACACTGTGCCAGGCCGAGCCCAAACGTGACTTTGGGTTAGCCCAGGTGAGGGCTCACCTGAGATGAGAGGCTGAGTGAGCTGAGGCTCTTTTTCTCTGGAGAAGAGAAGGCTCAGAGGGGATATGATTAATATGTCTAAGTTCAGGAAGGGAGAATGCAGGGAGGAAGGGGACAGGCTGTTTTCACTGGTGGCCAGCGACAGGACGAGGGTTAATGGCCACAAGCTGGAGCACAGGAGGTTCCATTTCCAGTTGAGGAGGAACTTCTTCACTGTGAGGGTGACAGAGCAGTGGAACAGGCTGCCCAGGGGGGTTGTGGAGTCTCCTTCTCTGGAGGTCTCCAAAACCCGCCTGGATGCCACCCTGTGCCACATGGCTCTGGGTGTGCCTGCTGGAGCAGGAAGGTTGGACTAGATGATCTCCAGAGGTCCCTTCCAACCTTGAATATTCTGTGATTCTATGATTCTGTGATCACGGGTTGTGGCCACCAGGATATAGAGGAGAGGGAGTTTGGATGCGTGGATGTGAGCTGGATGGTGCTATGTCAGCCAGCATCAGACCCATCAGGCCTCTTTCATTACTATATTACTCGTGTAGGTGTAGCTTGCAGCCACAGCCGGAGCTGATGCTCATGTGAGGTCCTGGGCCCTGCTTCTGTGGCCTTCGGTGGCCGTAGCTTTTGGGGGACAAACAGCCCAAAGCCTCCCCCGTGTTTGAGGAGGCCTGGAGGCAGTTTCTGAGCTCGAGCTCAGTTATACAAGCGGTTGCCGAGCCCTTTCTTGGAGCTCAGCAGCAGGCACCATCGAGAGAACATGTGCGGAGCGCTGTGTGAGGACACGATGAACCACAAAGGTTGCCCTCCCTGCCAGCAAGCAGCACCTCACCGACTGGAAATCACCCTGCACAGGGAACACATTCCTAGAACAAGAGCCGGGAGCAGCCGACGGGTTCCAGCCGAGACGTTTTCCTTAGCTCTGTGTGGTCACTGCACCCACTGCACTGGCTCCTGGGCGGCTGCTGTAAAGGGACTTTGTGCCAGGAAAGCGGTGCCGGACGCACAAACTGGAACCTGAGCAGTGGCAGGTTCAAATCTCTGTGTTTCTCCATACATTTTTGCTCAGGATATCGGGATGAGGCGGGACAAGATCCCGCTATGTTGGCTCCTGACATTAAAGGAATATTATCCGTGTCTCCCAGCAGCTGGATTCTTGCAGGAGAGGCTGAGGAATGCGACGTGCCGTGGCCACTGCACAGGACCGGTGTCTAGGCTCAGCTTTAACATTATCAACTTCAATAACAGCATTAAGAATTAGACTCCTCTAATACAGGTCTGTAATTCATGTAGCATTTGTAGTTTTTACAGCTCCACCTGGTATGTAGTGAGCAGGGTATGTTTTATATACCTGTCATCTTTAAGGGCTAATAGGGTAATTATCCTGGCTAATGTCTTTGCGTTTGCTCCTGATCCCCAGCTGGAAGAACTTGGGGAATTCTCCCCTGCCTCTTGCACTTAGTGTCTCCTGCCAGAGCTTCAGCAATTGGAATTAATCAGTTTCTGAAAGGACTGTATTTTCACTCAAATGAAAGGTGCAAGGTCGATAGGCAGGATGGAAGACTTCTGTTCCCAGGACAGCTGCCATATAGATAGAAATAAATCCCAGATATTTTGTCGTTCTCCTGTCAGGGCTGAGCACAGTCTAACAGAGTGGGAAGCACTCCTGGAATGGGAAAGGGTAGGAAAAAAGGAACAGGAGGAGAGAGGGGAGCAAAACCCAGCGCCGCTGAGACAGGTGGCAGAGCTCAGAGCAGTGCAGACGTGGCCTGCGTGGAAGCGCTCGGAGACCCGCAGAGATGTTCCTGAACGTAAAACTTTATCGTCAGGTTGCCCTAAAATACTAAGAATTAAAATACTGGTAACCTGGGCTGATGTGACGTGTTCAAAGTCTTTTTTCCTCTGCCATAAGCTGCTTGTTTCTGTGATCTGTAGCTCAGTTCTTGCATTTACTTCATTTAAAATGAGTAGCGTTCTCACTGAGGACTTAGTTGTTCTCTTTGCCGGTTGGGAGGGAGATACCAGCCCTACACCCACTAGCTGTAGGGGCAAACAGTGCCCCAGGCCGCTGGTTGGACTGGACAGTAACTTGTTCGTGGATGAAGACTCGTCCCCTTGGGCACCTGCTGCAGTTCAGCTCTTCATCTGCAGCCAGAGCAGCCCCCGAGGGGTCATTTGCTGCTGCCTTGTGCTGGACACGGGGCTCAGGCACCAACCTCGTGCCACAGGTTCATGTTTGGCCCTGATACAGGCTCGTCGCTTTGGGCAAATCCCATTCCAGCAACTTTTATTTCCCCCAAATAGTTCTTATCTGCCCCTTAAGAAAGGTTGGGGGGATTAGCTGGTTGATATGAGTGTGGGGCTTGGAGCAGAATGCCCAGCATTGTGCATCGCACGCAGCGTGCGCGCCAAGTGGCTGCTAGGAAAAGATTAGCACAATAAATCCGTAATAAAGGCGCTTGACCTCATCCTTGTGCTATTTCATAACTTTGGAGAGGTTGCACGGGCAAGAAACGGGGTTTGTCCGTGTGTCCTGGAGCAGATATTGCTGGGTGTAACAGAAGAGCAAGTCGGAAGGGGCAGAATTCCCTTCTCTCTTGCTCTTGCTTATGTCAGTCCTACCTGAGTGAAGCCTAATCCCAACTATCAGCAGAGCATGTCCATGGGAGAGCCCAGCTACCAGCTGGATTCATTCAGCCTCCGCTGCAAAAGCTGCTTTCAGCCCCAGAACCGAGATTTGGGCTCCTAAAGAAACCTCTGCCCAGATTATCTGTCTTCAAGGGCATAATTCTGCTCCAGCTAATTAAACCCGGCGTCCTTGGTACCAGTGTTAGCAATTACATAACATAACATGTTATATAGCATTATATAACAAGCCCGTCTTTGTTAAGACAGGCTTACAGCCTTTCAGGAGCTGCCCTAGCCCTCCTAGGAGTGCGTTGCCACCAGCGCCCTGGTTGCAGGGTGGCACTTGCCTTTCGCACCCCGCAGAGCAGAGTTTGCAGAGAATTTCAGCAATGCCTAATTCTGAATAAGCAGATTAGAGACCCCAACGGGCCGCGGGGAGCCTGGCACGCCCACAGCAGCAGCACCGAGCTTTTCCCTTAGGAATTTTCATGCCGGGAGGGAAACTTAATCAGCTTGCTGGGTGCTGCATGAAGGACAAAGCGGTGGCCAGGCTGGAGGGAGGCTTTCAGCCCTCTGGGGTGGGTTTTCTGATGTGAAAACGCTAAGGAAGGCGTTGAAATGCTGGCTAGGAGGGTTGCTTGGCTGTGCCTCGGCTTCCCTGAGGGGATTCTCAGTGTAAGTCTTCATTTGGCTCATCGTGTAGCAGAGGTTGGAAAGCTTCACCTGGGAGCCCCAATGATGACACGGTGGTTTCAGGCACAAAATTCTCTCCACGAAGTTACACAAGGACCAGTCTACCTCTGTGCCCCCTTAGATCCTTTGGCACAATTCAAGCACGGACCTGGGATGGAGAGGTGGGACTCGGGTGGGGAATCCAGCTTCAGCAGAACAAGGTCTTTGGTGCAGACCATTCCTTCTCAGCAAGGTGCCTGAGGGGGATCCTGGCTCACGCAGGGATGACCGAGCACTCGGAATGAGTAACTGCTCCCTTTGACTACGCAACATTTCCTTGTTAAAGGTTTTCCTTTAACTAATTCCTCCCTGCTGTCTTAGAAGAAAGGTCTTCAACTGACAAAACTCATTAAAACTCAACGAGAGTTGAGTTCAACTCAACTCTCAACGAGAGCCTCATGCAAGGCTCTGCATTTACCTTTGTAGACCTTCATCTGCGGTGGAATAACCCAGAGATACCCAGTGATAACCTGGCTGTCGGTGACTGTGCAGGAAACATCTTTGCAAGGAAGGAGCTGGGATTTTCTGGGAGACACGAGCTAGATATGAGCCTTGGTGCACCCTTGGACGGTGCAGACCAGCGTACCGAGCTTGGTTACCAAGAGCGTAGGCAGCAGGTTGAGGAAGGAGTTAAGGATCACGCTTGTTTGGCCCTTTTGGGACCCCCTGTAGATTCTGGGTCGAGTTTAGGACTACCAAAGACCAGCATTAACACACTGGAGCGAGTCTAGTGAAGGCCACCAAGACCTTCAGTGACCTGGAGCACAGGATGCCCGAGTGAGCTGGGCTTGTGCGCCTCTGGAGAGGACAGTATGGAGAGGGGATCCAGTTGGTCAATGGGGGTGTGGAGAAGGCTCTTCCCAGGACTGCACAGCGTCAAGACACAAACTGAAACAGGGGAAACTGTCACAACAGGAAAGTTCTCCTCACCTGAGGGTGCCCAAACACCAGAGCAATGTACTGCTTGGGGGTACCCTGATATATCTACTCAGCTGGGCATCTCTGCAGGGTATTGGCCAACTCACCCGGGGCTGTTGCTGACAGTGCTGCCCTACACAGGCCATCATCTTCTGATATATCAAAGGCTTTGTGTGGCAGAGAGTGCCAAGTCCTGAGTTTGCTTTGTAAATGCCATGTGATCTGCAAGGTAGTGCGAGTTTTGGAATAAAAGTTAGGGAAATTGGATCAAAAATGGGGGATGAGCATGTGGGTAGAGCTCCTGAGCTTCCAGGATACAGCTCCTGTCTGGAGCTGGTGGGGAGTGCGGCTGGGTGGAGGGAGGTCCCAGGGTTCCAGGTTCCAGGTGCTTTGTCTCTGGAATGGGAAGAGGAATGATGGTTTCTGCCTTGTCTCCAGGCTCTACATGCTCCATTCACTGCTGATCCCAGACCTGAAAGACTCAAGAGGTCTGGTGTCCCCTATGGGGGCAAATTCCAAAGACCATGACGTACGTCATGCGCTCAGCTGACTATGATGAACTGGAGGCATCACTAGTGACTAATTCACTGAGGACAGTATCCAAAAGGTCTTATGGTAAGATTTGGTAATGGAGAAAGCTCTGCACAGGCATCTAGCCATGCTTGGGAGGAACAGTGAAATTCGAGGTGTCCTCCAAGGCAGCCTTATTTCCAGCACTCCTTGGATCTACCTGTGATCTCAGTTCCCAAAATAAATGGGAAGGGAGATGTCTCACTCTTCCAAGCATTGACTGAACGAAAGGCTCTTCACTAGATGTCCATGTGACTGACATAACCCAGAGTCAGAAAGGCAGGTTACCTAACCAAAAGTTTGGAGGACACATCGGGAAGACGTGGAGACAGAATTGTTGTCATGGCTGTAGCTCACTTGTGTTCACACCCACAGCCACTACCCCTAGGGCATTTTAAGAAGAAGCAGCTGGATTCTGTGAGACCTTTTCGGCTCCATACTACAAAAAGAAGTGGAGCTCGCTCTCCTTCCCTTTTCTCTTATCAAAAGAGCAATAGGAAGAAGACCCAGAAAGGCAAAAGATGAAGTGTAGTTGTTACTTACAGTAGAAAAGAAGAGAAAATCCCAAACCAGGTTTTATCTAGTCAATTTTTGAAGTCCTCCAAGGATGGAGATCCACCACCTCCCTGGGCACCCTCTTCCAGTGTTGCCCTACCCTCCTAATGAAGACGTTTCTCCTAGTATCTGGTGCTGAGAGCTTTGTACTCAGCCTGACATCCACCATGGCAGTCAGATCTTGTCAGCAGGGTAGCTCTTCACCCCTCTCCCCATGCCCAGTCTGTGGAGACTTGTTTTGTTGAGAAAATCTCCAGTTTGTACAAAGTTGGCTGTAGAGAGGTAGAGGAAGTCAAACCAGTGTCATGAGCAAGCGCACAGGAGCGTGGGGATGAAGAGCACGGGGCTTTCAGTGCCACCTCTCTTGATCAAAAGTGCACGTGGAGACCATGCGGGTTCCTCTTGTATGGGTGGCCACTTCTTCGGTCCTGAATAAGGACTGAGGAGATGACAACAGCATGAAGACTCTGGCGGTGCTTGAGTTAGAGTTACGGCTGGTAGGTTGTTGGAATGAAGGTAGGTGAAGGTTAAGGGAGTCAGGAGAAGGTGACCGTGAGGAAGTGGACCTTGTCAGTAGAGGGAATGGTCCAGCTGAGGATGGAGAGAGACAGTGTGGCACCTGCAGATGCACCATGCACATCCATGGATTTACTGCGGATGATTTGGGTTTGGGCAATTTTGTGTCTCTGTCTCTGACCTCCTGTTCTTCTTCCAGCTGCCTCCTACACCGACAGCTCCGATGATGAGACCTCACCTCGAGACAAGCAGCAGAAGAACTCCAAAGGCAGCAGCGACTTCTGTGTGAAGAACATAAAGCAGGCAGAATTTGGGCGTCGAGAGATTGAAATTGCCGAGCAAGGTAAACGAGACCGGCTCCTTAAGTTCCACGTTGCTTCAGGCTGTTGTGCTGGGCACAGGCTTCTTATTTCCCCCAAACCATCTCCTCTTCTTGTTGTGTTCTGCATCTCAGTTACTTCTTGACACCATTCCTACTTAATAAGGAAAATTTTTGCAGGATCAGGTGGGAATGCGACTGTAGACAACACTATTCTAGCGTGATTATCTCCCCAAACTGGTAGCAGAGGCAATGCAGCGATTAGGCGGCCACGGGGACATTGGAGAGACTGGCCACAACTGCACGTCCAAAGCCTCAGCTGGAGCAGCTTTTCCCCCAGCCTCCCTCCTGCTGCAGGCACAGATAGACCTGTGAAAATGAGATTATGCTCCATGCTAAATAGCAGGGGAATACACCGAATTCTGGATTCTTTTCAGCCGCCGCGATGATGTGTTGTTTGGCGGCTGCTCCCAAGCCTTTGGCTCCTTCTGAGCAGCCACAACTGCACAAATCCCAGGCAGTGCCAGACAGCGGCGTGAGAAGCAGTGCTGAGTGGCTGCGTCTTGTCGCTTTGCCCTTTGTTAATGCACGGTTGGACTTTTTTCCTTTTTTTCCTTCAGAAATGCCGGCGCTTATGGCTTTAAGGAAGAGAGCGCAGGGAGAGAAGCCCCTGGCTGGGGCCAAGATCGTGGGCTGCACACACATCACAGCGCAGACAGCGGTAAGAGCCCCCGCAACCACCTCCTGCTTCGCGCCTGACGCGTCGGCGTCCGCCTGTGCCATGTCCGACTGTTGGTACAGACAACACGTGCTCAGGGGGTCACCACCTCGTGAGGTGTCTGCTCTCCCAAACAAAGCCAGATAGATCAGCTCAGAGTTGGGGTCATTTCAAGGGGTGCTGGGGGACCTTGCAGCCCGGTTCTTGCATCGTGTCCGTGCTGCAGGAGGCTCCATCTCCATGTGGGGAACAGCTTGTTTGGTGGGAGGGTGCCCGAGCCCTGGCCCAGGCTGCCCAGGGAGGCTGCGGAGGCTCCTGCTCTGCAGATCTGCCAGCGCGCCGGGATGCACCCGGGTGCCCCGTGCTCTGGGTGTCCCTGCTGGAGCAGGGGCTGCGCTGGGGGAGCCCTGGGGGTCCCTTCCAGCCTCAACCACCCTGGGATTCTGCTTGCATCCATGAAGGCGCTCAGCTGCCAGCATTAAGCAAGTTGGCAGGGATGAGGTGTGTTCTTGGGCAAAGCTCCTTAGCAATGCAGTGAAGCTTTGGCGCAGCTTGGTGGCAGTTTCAGCAGAGACACTAAATCCTCCTCACTGAAGACTCATCCTCACTCTGCTTTGTCAGAGGCCCAAAATATTCCGCGTTAGCAGGATGATGGGCAGGAACTTCTCACTGTTTATCATCTAAATGGAGATGGGAAGGGTGGTACAGATCTTGGTCTTGGCCTCAGTGCTCTTGCAGGTATACCTTGTAAAAAAGAAGCCAATTTTGTGAACGTTTCTTGATGCACAGAGCCTGTGTTGAAGGTGCATGTGTATAAGGCATCACTTTGAGTGCCGGTGTCGGGCTTTGCTGTGAAGGGACCCTGAGCAACACCTGCAACGCGGCTCCATGCCCTTGGTGCCACCAGGGCCACCGCTGCCTCGGGGACCCCTTGCTGTCCCCAGGTCCCTCTGCGCAGAGCTGCTCCCAGCACGTCACCCCAGCCCGTCCTGGTGCCGGGGTTATTGCTCCCCAAAGCAGGACCCTGCGCTTCCCTATACTGAATTTCCCCGATCCATTGAGGTCCCTCTGGGGTATCAGCTGCTCCTTCCACGTCTGCATCGTGACCAAGTCACAGTTTGTACCCCGCTGTACTGAACAGAAGTTGATATCTGGGCTTCGTGCAGGACTCATCCTCAGCGTGCTCCATCCAGGAGTCCTTTTCCCTCTGCTTTCCCAACGCAGGTGCTGATGGAGACGCTGGGCGCGCTGGGCGCCCAGTGCCGATGGGCCGCCTGCAACATCTACTCTACTCTTAACGAAGTGGCCGCTGCCCTGGCCGAGAGCGGTAGGAATCTCACTTTATTCTTACTGTTTTTAAAAAGATTCCTTACTGGCCTGTCACGTTTAGCTCATTTATATCCTCTGAGAGTGTCTTCCTATAAATTGTTTTATTTTTTCGTTTAGAATAGATCTGTAGGGTGCTGAAATGCGTTCCTCTCCATTTTTGAGTGCATAAATGTGCATCCCGGTAAACTTTGGGCTGAATTGCACACCCCAGCTTGCAATATTTCACCAGAAATACCACCAGAGTTGTATACACCCTCCTGTTTCCTACAGTTACTGAACTGATTCCTGAATTGTTTGAGGGAGTGGAATATTGTAGGTCTGGGGAAGGAAAAGATAAAACAAACTTTGGACCAAAACAATCTTAACAAGAAATGGAGCTTGATCTAGAGGTACAGCTTAACTTTCTCTTGGTTTACTTACGAAGCAGCAAAAAGGCCTGAACAACACAGAATCGATGTCTTCCGTTGATTTAAAAATATTGGTCAGAATTATTTTTCTCTGGAGTATAAATATGCATAGCACAGATGACGGGGATGTGCATTGTTAGCTGTTGGAGCTATGTGAATATAAAAATAAAGAGAGAAAATAAGGTAAAATTTGGTTTTATTTCTATGGAGATAGTGAATTCTTAAATTTGAATCCTATTAATTGGCTGAAGAGGATGAGAGAGAGAAGATTTTTTGGATACACGAGGGAAAGATGTTGGTGTTGCTGCCCACCTGGGAGTCCGGCTGCCTTAGTTCAAATCCTCTTTTATCTGGGAAAGGCCGAGGGTTTTACTTTGAACCTGGGAGACCCAGAGCAAGCTGAAGTCACTGAATTGTCTGTTATCTTTTTGTTATCAAACTGTTATAGTTTGCCTGTCCTGCTTGCTGAAGCTCTCCTGCTTGCTGGAATATGCCTGAGCAATAGCAGGTCAGGAGGCAGAATCTGCTGCAATGAATTTGTGGCTTCTTTGCTGCAATCTAACTTTCTTTCACAAATAAATGTTACCAACATCCAGACCGTGTTATCCCAGTGACCTCTTGTCCTGCAGCTAGAGCATTTCCTTGGGAGAGAGGTAGAAATGAAGTAGAAAGTTGTAGTCCTTTAAATGAGAAAAATCCTTTGCTACCTCTAGCAGTCATTAATGACTAAAAACTGGTGCTTCTCCCTTATTTTGCGCCTGCTCCGGGTCTCCACCCCAAGCTGCCTGGTGCTCATCCTTCTCGCTGGCTTCCAGGGTTCCCGGTCTTTGCGTGGAAGGGAGAGTCCGAGGACGACTTCTGGTGGTGCATCGACCGCTGCGTCAACGTCGAGGGCTGGCAGCCCAACATGGTGAGGCTCCTCCTGGGAAGGGGCCACATGAGGGCTTGGAGCCAGTCTTCCCAATTTGAGCACTTTTTCTGCAGGAATTCCTGCATTTACTGCTTGGATTGGGAACTAAGGCCACCAGCGTTGACGCGCTGGTGCTGGCACGTGGACATGCTTCATGATCCAGTGGTCTGCACCCTGTGGGACATTCCCTTCTCTCGGTGCTGCAGAGTCGGAGAGAAGCTGAGCTCCTGACTTGTGCAATGCTGAGATGCCTCTGGCCTCCTCTGGAACCTTTTTTTCAGTATTTTCTAGGCAAGTGTGGCCACGTTAGTACAAAGCATGGGGAGCAATTAGGTTGCTGTCAGCCTGCTTCCGTTTAGATTAAGCCTCTTATCCACTCAATCAGACAGTTCAAAGCAACCACCCAAAGCGAGCACCCTCTAGGAAGAGGTTGCATCAGTTTTAGCCCAAGTCAGTGTAAAATCCCGGCTTTGGTCAGGTCGGTTTGAGTTGCCTGCCTAGGTTTGACCTCAGAAGCAGAATGGGAACCGAGCCGATTCCTGCCCTCGAGTCAGTTCTTTGCTGCTGGTGCAGAGCAAAGGGCAGTGCAGCCCTTGGCCTCACTGGTTTGTTCTGCCCCTGGTTCTAGGGAAAGCAGGAACCTCCAAGCAGGTAAGTGCCATCATTTGCAGCAGAAAAAAAGTGCTCTTTTCATCCTGCTCCCCGGCAGGCTTTGAGCCCTGGAAGCTTGTGCTCTAAATTAGACCAAAAGCAATCAATGATGGGCGTGCAAGTGCATCGCTTGCAAGTGTTGACTCATCGGAACTGGAGTTTTTGTCCCTTCCTATCTACCCCCATTCACTTCTTACCTGTCACCTTTCAAAAGAGTTGTGGATGTCAGAAAATCCACCCCCTCTCTACAAATCTGCATCAGGACAAGGTAGTCTTTTTTTTCCCCTTTCTTTTTTTGGAAATAATTTCTTATGAAAGGTGTCAGGAATTGAAGAAATAAATTCCTCAGATATCAGAATCTAACCCGTTTGTTTTCCCCGGCTCTGTCTGGGTTCTGGGACACGTCTAGATCAATCAGTGTATTTTCAGTAGCAATCAGTGTATTTTCAGGCTTGTTTCTGAGCATTTTTTTGAGGACCAAAAAATGGGCTTGATCTAGCGCTTCTCAAAGTTACATCCACGTGAGTTTGAACGGAAAGTCTGTGTTTTAGAGACAAAAATGAAGAGACTGGAGATTGCAGAGGCCAGAAGACACTGGTTTAATATCCAGGTTTGGAATAAACCCAGTGTCCTGTTGACCGTCGCTTCACTGCACCCCAGCACCCCATGTCCTGGCGGGCAGTGCCGGGGCTCCTGACGTTGTCATCCACAAGAGGTGTCACATAGGGATGTCTCGTGATCCTCCAGTGTCATCACAGGAGAGGAAACTTCTTCCAATGTGGAGAACAGCCTTGAAAATCCTGGTGTCCAACATGTGGAGCAAGTCCTGGGAAGAGCCGAGCACGAATTACAGCAGGTCTCCCCCCAAAACACTGGATCTCCTGTGGAGAACACGGACCTTCAGAGGACACGGGCACAACCCAGAGGTCCTTCCACAAAGCAGCCAGGTCTGCAGAGCTGAGGGTGTTTCCGAAGCAGCACGAACCCACCTAAGGCCACGCTTAGGCCGCCGGGGACTTGCTGCCTTGGTCCCCAGCTCCGACCACCTTGCTTAGGCCCATGCAGCGAGTTGGAAGCACGTGCCGAGCTGATCCCAGCTAATCGTAAGCAGCTTGTGGGATCAGCCAGGCCTGGCAGGGAGCCCTGCAGGGGCAGCGGGGGCTCAGAGCTGCGCCAGGAGAGCGGGAAACGGTGCCTGGGGCCACCAGCTTCTGTCCTGGCCATGAAGAAAGCCTGTCATAAAAAAGCTTGTCATTAAAAAAGCCTGGGAGCCGCCCAAAATCCAGGCTCCTCTGCATTTCGGAAAGGGGATTGAGTGCCCCGTTCATCATGGATTAGCAAAGCGAAGACATCCCGGCAGCCAATGGCCACGTCTTTGCCAAGAGCATCCGTGGCCGGAGCGCAGAGCCTCGGGGACGTGGACGTGCCATGGCCCTGTCCCCTGGGGACGTGGGACCTGAGCAAACCCCCCTCGCTGTTTTTCCTTGCTGTCCTCAGAAACTCGGCTGGCTCCCCCTTGCCAGGAGATTTTCCCTCGTTTTTGGAGGTTTAGTAGTCACTAGGCAGAGGAAAAGCAGTAAGGCTGGACTTAAATTTATGGGAGACATCACCAAAATGCCTGACCATCCTTTACAAGTCCCCGTTGCCGAGTCTTTGCTTGTTCATCTTGGATGGTGCCGTCGAAGCAGCGAGTGTCCGGGTTCCTCTGCTGCCTGAACCGCGGCAGCAGGAGCAAGCGGGCGGCTCGGGAGACCTAGGACCTGATGAAAAGGAGTCTGTCCCTCGGAGTCTGCGGTTCAGAGCCGGACTAAATGGGCTGTGACCAAAGCCAGGCCCTGATAGGCGTCCAGTGTTTTTAATACGCAGCTTTTCTTGTGCATTTACATTATAGTTGGCTTTAGTGTCTCTGCACCCTCCTTCCCCATCACCCATCTTCTTCCATTGGAAACTCATTAAAAACGCTGCTGTTGTCCAGCACAGCCTACACGACAGCTCCCCAAAGCAGCACTTACTGACTAATCCAAGTGTCTCGCCTAAGTAGTCAGGACATGGTGGTGCCACCAAAATACGGGCTTCGTTTAGAGTGATTTATCGCCTGTTCTTGTGGGGTCTGCTGTGTCCCTGTGTCCTCCAGGCAGTGACTCTCTGCTTCTCTTTATTGCAGATCTTGGACGACGGGGGAGATCTCACCCACTGGATCTACAAGAAATACCCCAACATGTTTAAGAAGATCAAGGGGATAGTGGAGGAGAGTGTGACTGGTGTCCACAGGTAACAGGGCCAGGGGCACAGGCTGCATCCACGCGGCGCCCGCAGAAAAACTGCTAGAAAACAGCACACATTTGGGGGAATATTGGTGGAATGTTGCACCTCCTGGTGCCTGATCCACAGTGTTCCTTCAGCAGGGGCTTGTCTTTTCAATATTACCTTCAAATCATACTTTATTTTAAATTTCTTGTACTGTGAAAGCACCTAGGGCTCTGAATTTGAGAGGAGGAGCAGGGAAACCTTAATTCTTCATCCCCACTCAGCTGCTGATCCCTGTGCAGGTGGAGACAGCGCAGGATGTCTTGTCTTCCCATGGATGAATTAGGACCAATACTTACCTCATTTTAGGGATGAAGAAAGAGCACAGCTCCCACAGGGGGGATTTGGGCAGGAGAGCTGGGCAAGAGCAAAGCTGGGCTCAGGAGCAGGGCCTGAGGCTGCAGGCAGCGCCGGCCCCTCTGTGCTTGCATGGGGACGTCGCTGGGTCGCTGGGACGTCCATGAGGGGCAGGTGAAGGAGGCAGCAGCGGGAAGGAGTGCAGGAACGGGCAGTGAATGTGGCAATAGTGTCCCAGGCGAAGGTGGGGAGAGAGGGTCCCCGGCGACAAAGCGACACTGGGGAGAGCCTGGGGGTGGCTGAGGTTGGAAGGGGCCTCTAGAGATCGTCGTGTCCAAGCCCTGCTCCCACAGGGACACCCGGAGCACCTTCCTCAGCCCGAGGCCCGGGAGAAGGCAGAATACGAGCAAGATAAATAGGCGAGTTCAGCCAAGTGGGAACTTAAAACAGAAAATGCAAAGCAGCCTTTGTCCCCAGTGCCACCGCAGTGAGACGTGGGGCCCTGCAAAGCAAAGGAGGGGAAGAACAGGAATAACCGGAGAACAATTAGGACTCCCTTGTTCTCCAGGTAGTTCAGAGGGAGTCTTTGTGTTTGGGCTGCTGCACGGGGCGGAGGAGCCGGGTCCACTTGGAGCAGGATGAGTCGGGATGCGCGGGCTGCGGGTGTCCCCACTCCGTGGCTGCTTCTGGTTGTCTCCCAGGGCATCGGAGCTTAGGGAATTAGAGGAGCTCTTACGTTGTCTGACGCAGGACTGGGGACCGCAGCCTTGCAGGGGATGTTGGAGACGGTCACGATATCACTGTTAGGAAGCACGCGGGGTCCAGGGAACATCGCAATCCCTGCTGTTCTGTGCAGAGCCTCGTGCCAACCTAATAGTGACACAATTCCTCCAGGAGGGCAGGGAAACAGATAAAAATATCTGGGGAAGAAAAGATGCTGTTTGTCCTTCTGGAACGAGGACATCGTGCCGCTCCTATTCGGATGTTATCTTTGGATGTTATCTATTTTCGTACTGCGTGTTCCAGCCAAACAAGGAGCTTGAGCGCACGGGTCGGGAGAGCGTAGGAAATCTGTTTGATTGTGGATCCTTTATCCATTTCCCCCCTTGTTGGTAATAGGCTGTACCAGCTGTCCAAGGCCGGGAAGCTGTGCGTGCCAGCCATGAATGTCAACGACTCGGTCACCAAGCAGAAGTTCGACAACCTCTACTGCTGCCGAGAATCCATCCTGGACGGGTGCGTAGCCGCTGCCCCGGAGCTGGAGCTGCTGCTGGAATCGGGGCCGGGCAAGGAGGAACCTTGGGGTTCCGCTCTTTGCCCAGCTGGACGCGTCGGGTCTGTCCAGCCTCGTGTTTTAGATGATTCCTTGCTGCAGAGCTGGTGTTTCAGAGGAAGTCAAAGGTTGCCCTGTGGTCGTTACGATCCCACAAAGGCGCTCAGGCTCTGAGGGGCCTTGTTGGAAGCACTGTGGCCTGGAGCTCTCAGAGGACAGGTGACCTGACGTCCCTTGAGGCGTTGGGAGCCACGAGCCGTGCAGCTTCGGGTGCCCTGCGGTCAGCGGGGGCTCCATGGGTGAAGGGGCATCAATTTTGTGCCTCTTCCTCCTCTTGCAGAAGGCCGATCTTCTGCTTTGCCCAGTGTCTGGAGGACACAACGTCAAGTATTTCATTAGCCGTGGGGCTGCAAGGCGTTTTTGGAAAGGCTTTCAGTGCCCTCAAAGGAGGCTCACTGGGTGTTTCCAGCGTTTGAGAGCAGCGTTGCCCGTTTGGGTGTATCTGCGGGTCTTTTTTTTCCCATTCTTCTCCTCTTTTTTTTTTTTTTTTTTTAATTTTTCTTTCTGTGGAATGGGGTTATTCAGGATTTCCAGCCCCTCCTCCCAGCCTCTTCTCCCCTTTTCCCAAAGCCACGTGGGATGAGGCTTGTTCTCGTGGACGGACTGTCCCCCGTCCCGTTCGGCAGCTGCTCCCAGGTAATCCCCAAATCCAGGACAGAGGTTTTCCCGACCACGGCCGCGTCCTGGCTGCAGATGAGCAGCTCCATGTCCAGGGACCACGGAGGGGACCAAGCAGCCCTGGAGAGAACTGCTGGCATCAGAGGAGAGGTTTTCTTGGTAGCCTCACATGGCTCCAGGTTTGAACGAGCCTCGTGCCCGCGGCTCTTGGTTCCTGGAGCAGCAGGAATGCGGAGTCTCCTCCTGTGCAACGCTCCTGGTTCCCGCTGTGCTCCAGTATTCCTGGTATTCCGGTAGCATCAGGGCTCCTTGCAGCCTGAGGCGCGCTTCCCTGCTCGCTGCAAGGGCTGCTGCAGTGATTTCCAATGGATCCTGCTGGGATATTCCCTGAGCATCCTCGCTTCCAAGTGCTCTTGCTGGTAGTGCTCTCCTTGGCCGTTTGTGGTACTTGCCTGTCCCAGCAAGAAGATCGTGACGATGTGTCTAAGCATCCTATGAGTTACTGAACCACCTAATGGGCTTCCCCAGGCTGACCCACCGCGGGTGGTTTCTTTTCCGCATTTCGGTTGGATGTTGCCCTAAAACGCTGAATTTTGGACTCCTAGTCAAGTCCACGGGGACCGTAGCTGCCTCTTCTGCACGCCGGGATGTTTTCTCCATTAAATCAGAATGCACCAGCGTCAGCAGCCAGGGACTCCTGGACTTCCTGCCCACTCAAACCAGGAAAATCCATTCAAAACGTTCACCTATCTCCAAATATATGCAGTTTGCAGGGTGGCAACGCGGAGCAGCGCGCTCCGGGTGCAAGATTTCCCATCGTGCGGTCTCCAGTTGTGATGGATTTGAGTTAATTGGGCTCGGGCCTCCAAAACGGGGCCGAAGAAAACCTGAGCAAGAGTGCAAGCCGATCTGCAGGGTCTGCATGGAAGTGTGAGGGAATTCACCTTCCCGGCGCTGCTAACCTATTTACTGGCCTGCTAAAAATAGGCTGCAATGTAGGGCACCCTGACGGAGAAACCAGGAGGAAACGGAGCGGAAGGGAGAGCGTTTGTACCGGGCGCTGGGATGCTGGCCATCAACTACCAGCTCCTGCTGTAGTTATTTTTATATTTATTTATATATTTATTTATATATACGGACTTTTTTTGAGTTTAGAAAGGTAATGTTAATTTTGAAAGGATTTTTGAGAGGATTGTGATGGTTCCTGAGTGCCAGTGCGGGTCGATGGGACGCGTGGCGGTGCTGGAAGGGGCGCGTTGGCTTCGTGCTGATGTCCTCAGTGCGGCCGGGCAGAGGCTCCGACTGCTCCTTGTCCAACACGGGAGGTGCCGGGATGGGGGGAGCTTCACGGGAGCTAATCCAGCAACACGGGCCTTGCAGAAACCCCCATGCTGTGTCCCCAGAGTCCCCTCTGCCCCAGACGTTGCCGCTGCTCTAACTACAGGACCCATCCAGCTGGGATCCGTCACCTCAATTATGTGTTTTCTCTTTTTCCCTTAGCCTTAAAAGGACGACAGACATGATGTTCGGAGGAAAGCAAGTGGTGGTTTGTGGCTACGGAGAGGTAAGGGCCCCCTTTTCATCCCGTGGGAAGCCCTTCCCGCAGCCTTCCCGGTGGGAGCTGGGTGGGAAAGCGGAGCCCCCTTTGCCCGGCCTCCCCCCGGCGCCCCCCGTCCTCGTGTCCCGTCTCCGCCTCTGCAGCCGCCTCCAAACCTGCCGCAGGGGAAGATTTTCCTGCTCGGGTTCCCTAGGCGTTAAACAGGGTTGCGTTTAACCACGCACATCCCGCCTAACCCGGGAGATTAGAGTTAAGCTGCCTAGGGAGAGCAGAGCCTGTAAGCGACTCCGTGGCTTTCTTCATCATCTCTCACCATCGGTGGCTCCTGGTGACAGGAGGACAACAGGATCCCGTGAAGCCCAAAGCCCCTTGCAGCTTCAGGGGGCTGTATCCGCCATGGAGCAGGACGGAGCTGCCTTAAAACCCGGAGGGATGGGGCGCATCCTGCTTCCCGAGGCAGCCAGGGCGCCCGCTCCGGCCTCTCACCCGCTCCTCCTCCTCCTCTCCGCCCGCAGGTGGGCAAGGGCTGCTGCGCGGCGCTCAAGGCCATGGGCTCCATCGTCTACGTCACCGAGATCGACCCCATCTGTGCCCTGCAGGCCTGGTAAGCCCGGCACCACCAGGAGCCTCCGGCAAGCCCTGCTTCACTGGGGCTTAATTAAGCCCTGTCTAATTAGTGCAGCCTGCGGGGTCCTGCAGGAGCCCCGGCAGCGCGAAGGGAGCAGCAGCAGCAGCTGAATCAAGTCTCTTGCTTTGCTCTTATGCAGCAGCCGCCCATTTGCTGCTGCACACACAGCCCCTCTCCTCAGGAGCTTGCACGGAGACAGACCGTGAATGGGCCAGCCTAGAAATGCAGCAGAAAAAAAATATATCTTTTTTTTATATATATAAGTGTAATTTCCCAGGCTGGGGGAAGCGCAGAGACAGGTTCCCAGGAGGATGTTGAGGAAGCCCCAGAAGCTGCAGCCTTGTTCTCACATGCGCTGCGCTCGCCCGGCTCGTTGAAGCCGGTGCAGAGGGGCTGAGTGCTCAGCCCGTCCCGGGGTTGTGGAGAGGACAGAACAGGGGACAGCGAAGCTGACGGTGGCCCTGGGGTCTGGGGTGTCTTTCGATGTCGCTGGAATCCGTATCAGAAAGGAATCCGCAGCGGGAGAGTGTCTGCGTGAGCTCGACGTGCTCTGGAGCAGGAGGAGCTTTAACGGCTCTCCTGGCTGGAAATGGAGCTACGCTGATCCAGAGGCCTGGATGGATAAAGTGAAGTGTCCCTGGGTCACCTCTCGAGTGTCATTTTCCCCCAAGGGACCCCAGTCCTGGGGGGTTCCGGAGTGTCCGGGGATGCCCGTCCCTTGCAGGCTGCACCGCCCAGCCCTGGCGCTGGAGGCTGAAGTTGCACCCGAGAGTCAGCCGGGCAGTTTTCTGGGCTGGTTTCTGTGTTTTTGCAGCTTCTCGAGCCCCGTTGCCTGTTTTTCCCTCTTAGCATGGACGGCTTCCGACTGGTGAAACTGAACGAAGTCATCAGACAAGTGGACATCGTCATCACCTGCACAGGTGGGCGGGCGCCTGGGGGGTCGGTCCCTTCCCGAGGGGAGCAGCGACGAGGACGGAGCCTGGGGAGCCTCCCAGCGCTTCCTGCAGCGCTTCAGGCGCTGGGTGCCCAGCACAGTGAACGGGGGGCGCTGCGGGACCCCCACACGTACCCCCGGCCAAGGCGTGTGCTCTGCTGCAGGCAACAAGAACGTGGTGACGCGGGAGCACCTGGACCGCATGAAGAACAGCTGCATCGTGTGCAACATGGGACATTCCAACACGGAGATCGACGTGGTGAGCGGCGCCGGGGACGCGGGGACGCCGCTGCGGGTGACGGGGCTCGCGGGTGCCCTGCCGTCACCCGCCGTGCTGGGGGAGCCGCCGCTGCAGGGTCCCGTTCAGCTGCCGAGTCCTTGTGCATCCAGCTCCTCGGCCTGGCCTCCAGTCCAAGGGCTGCACCAGCGCCGTGGCCAGCACTGCAACCATGGAAGTAGTCGTAGAATCCCAGAATCCCAGGGTGGCTGAGGCTGGAAGGGACCCCCAGGGCCCCCCCAGGGCAGCCCCTGCTCCAGCAGGGACACCCAGAGCACGGGGCACCCGGGCGCATCCCGGCGCGCTGGCAGATCTGCAGAGCAGGAGCCTCCCTGGGCAGCCCTTTCCAGGACTCGGGCACCCTCCCTGTCCAGACATTTTCCTTCAGTTCCTGGGGAATTTTGGAGCTTCAGTTTGTGGCTATTTCCTCTAGTCCTGCGACTGGCCTCCACTGCAAAGAGGCTGCCCCATCCTCCTCACTGCCTCCCTTGAGATGTCCATAGACACTGCTCAGATCCCCGCTCAGCCTCCTCTTCCTCAGGCTGAACAGGCCCAGCTCTCCCAGCCTTTCCTCACAGGGCAGACGTTCCAGGCCCCTGATGATCCTCGTAGTCCCGAGGGCGCAGCTCATAGAGGTGCCCTTGGTGACCAGGCCCAAAGGAAGGGCTAAGCCCAGCCCAGCGCCAGCGGGGGCCCGGGCGGCCTCCTTCCCCCTGCTCCCCCGCGGGCTCCGTGCGTGCCGGCCGCTCGCCGGGGCTGAGCTCCGCTCCGCTCTTGCAGGCGAGCCTGCGGACGCCCGAGCTCACCTGGGAGCGGGTCCGCTCGCAGGTGGACCACGTCATCTGGCCCGACGGCAAGAGGATCGTGCTGCTGGCCGAGGTGAGCGCGCCGCGCGGCCACCCGGCCAGTGGTGCCCGTGGGGCCAGGGTGCCCCTCCGGGCGCCCACCTCCACAGCCCCCACTCAGAGGGATTCTTTTCACCTCCTTTTGGCTGCTGCACTGCTGGAATGCAGAAAAGCCCCCGTGTTTCCCGTTATCCATCCCTAGCCGCGTCCCACATAGCATGTTCCGTCGGGTTTTTGCTTCTAAATGGTGTTCCTGGCTCACGCCAGTAGCTGATGCCACGGGATTCAAACGCACGTGGTTTTCCTTGGGCTGCAGCCTCGGAAACCTGCCCGGTGCCAAACTCGTGTGGTGCCTTTGGAGGAGGCAGGTGGCTGCTGTGTTCCCTGTAAGCTTTTCCTGCACCAGTTGAATCCTGTGGGAACAGGACACCCACTCCAAAGGGAGCAGGGACACCCACTGGCCGTGCTGCTCTCCGGAGGGGATGCGTTTTGGGGGCCAACGGGTTCCCGCATCCCGGCGGCTCGTGGAGCGTCCTGGGGCGGAGGTAACGGCCCCCTCTGCGTCCCCAGGGCCGCCTGCTGAACCTGAGCTGCTCCACGGTGCCCACGTTCGTGCTGTCCATCACGGCCACGACGCAGGTGAGGCGGGCGCGGGGCGGGCGGCGGGCGGCGCGCGCGGGCCGCGCTCAGCGCCCTCCCTGCCCCCAGGCGCTGGCGCTGATCGAGCTCTACAACGCGCCCGAGGGCCGCTACAAGCAGGACGTCTATCTGCTGCCTAAGAAAATGGGTAACGTCGGGCTCGTGGCCTTCCCCTTATCCGAGGCGGAAGGGTGGGAGATGCCGCCGTGTCCGGAGCGTGGGGCTCGCGTTCCCGTCCCTGCCGAGCGCTTCCAACAGGGAGGCCGAGGGGAGGCGCCGCTCCGGCCTCGCGCGGGGAGGAACACGGGGAACCCTTCGCGTTTCTCCACCAAGGGGGCCAAGCGGGGCTGGGATTCAGCCCTAGCGAGGGTTCCTGGTGCCGCGGAAGCGGGACGGGTTGGGAGCGGGACGGAGGCGGCGGGAGCCCATGGGGGCCGCAGCGAGCGCGCGGGGCTCCCGTCTCCCGCAGACGAGTACGTGGCCAGCCTGCACCTGCCCACGTTCGACGCGCACCTCACGGAGCTCACGGACGAGCAAGCCAAGTACCTGGGGCTCAACAAGAACGGGCCCTTCAAGCCCAACTACTACAGGTACCGCCCGCGGTGCTGCCCCACGGTGCGGGGTTCCTCACGGTGGCTTCTTCAGGGGGCATTTTTCAGCGTGGACGTTAACCCGAATCCCATCGTCTCTTCCTCAGGTATTAAATCCCGCCGCCGCCGCCGGGAGAAGCTGCAAGGAACACGAATCCAAGTGTTCTCTCAACTGCTGTACAGGACGAAACTGCGCAAGCTTCCTCATGTAGAGCTGGACTTGCTCACCTAGTAGACAGTGTGTTAGGTTATTTATTTATTAAACTAGGATGCTGTCCACGCGGCTCCGCCACGGGTGTCTGTGCTGCCGCAGGGCACGGAGCCCGCCCGCCTTTTTCTTTCTTTTCTTTCGTTTTTCCCTTTTGGCCCCTCTTTGGAGGGCCAAGGGGCTGGAGAGGCTGGTGGGATCCGTCGGGTGCCGGTGGCCTCCGCGGTGGCGGGATCGCCGGGAATGCAGCACAGGCGGAGGGGCAGAGCTGGATCCGCCCCGGAGCTTGTGCGTTCCAGGGGGTTCCCTGGCACCCAGCACTTCTCCCACCGGAGCGGGAGTTGTGTTGAGGCCGGGAACCGGGACGGCTCTGCGAGGCTCTCGTTGAGATGCTCCGGTGTTCCCAGAAGCCATGGTGTTATCAGGAGCGATTCCCGGTGTCTCACAGGAGCTCGGTTTGCCGGGAAGGTTTGTGTGGAGCGGAGCAAGGCCTGGGAATGCGCCGTGCTGGGCGGGAGGAGCCGCCGTGGCCCCGGCAGCCCCACGGCGCCAGGATGGGGATGGAGGAACCTTCAGCCCAGGAGGTCCTGCCCGTTCCCGGGAAACTCCAAAGGGCTCCAGGTTTCTCCTGATCTGCTCTCTTCCTGGAAGCCTCTGCAGCCTCCAGAGGCCGAGCGACAGCCACGAACCCTCGGGACTCTCCACTCACCAGTGAATTTTATTCGGATCCCCAAATTTCAGCAAAGATTCCACAGAACTTCTAGCCTTCAAGTTGCCCTGTTTCCTTGTGCTGGAGCGACCAGGTCTGCAGTATCCAGCAAAATCCGGGAATTCCTCCGGGAGGAGGCCCAGAGACGCCGCCAAAGGGGCTTCCAGCACTGTTGGAGCGGAGGCTGCCGCCTCCCCTGCGCTCAATCCCGGGGAGACTGGGGGGATCCCGTTTTCCCCGTCTCTTTTCCATGCTTTTCCCCATGTCGTTCCGCTTCTGTAAAGCTTTCTGGCTTGCTTGGCTTTTCCTAATCAATCTGGAATCATATTCTGTGATCATCTCCAAATTAAACGTGTAATTATTATTAATTTTTTTAATGTAACGCATTTTTAAAGATTTAGGAACGGCAGATTTAGGTAACACCAGCAAATCCATGTAAGGAAGCTAAGTGTGTCCTGGAGCGCGTGGGGCCGATCCCGCCGCCGGGCTCCGAGGCCTTGGGAAGCGCCCCCTTTTCGCGAGGATGTTTTAAATATTAATGTCTGAGTGATTGTATTAGAGCAGCAATAAAGACTCTGTAATCTCCAAACGCCAATAAAAGCCCTTGGAAAAGCGGCTGGTCCCGGCTCCGTGGGGGGAGACGGGAGCAGCCCCCCCAGCCCGGGCGGGAGGGCGGCAGAAGAGGCCGGAGCTTCCCGGGGGCTCTGGGGGGGCTGGGGGGAGGGCAGCAGGGGGATCTCGACCCCCCCACACACCAGCACCTCCAAGGCCCCCCTGAGCCCCCCTGCCCTGCACCCCTCAGGGACACCCCATAGCCCCCCAGCACCTTGTGCCCCCCCCAAGCACCCCAGGGACCCCCGCACAACCCCGCATTCCCTGCACAACCCATAGCCCCCCCATCCTTGCACCTCTAGGGACACCGAATAGCCCCCCAGGTTCCCCATGCCCTGCACCCCGT